GTGACTTCTAGAAACTTTTTTCTTTTTCTTTTTATGTCGGTCGTGGAGCCTGAACTCTGGGCCTGGGCACTGTCCCTCAGCTCTTCAGCTCAAGGCTAGCGCTCTACCACTTGAGCTACAGAGCCACTTCCAGTTTTCTGGTGGTGTATTGGAGATAAACGTTTCACAGACTTTCCTGCCCGGGCTGGCTTTGTGTGTGTGTGTGTGTGTGTGTGTGTGTGTGTGTGTGTATCTGTGTGTGTCTGTGTGTGTGTGTGTATGTCTGTGTGTGTGTGTGTGTGTGTGACTTAGATTGAACCCCAGAGATCTTGCACAAGCTGGACAAGTACTCCACCACTGAACTACATTCCCCAGCCCTTGCATTTTTTCTCTCCTATGACACACTCTCTCTCCCTCCCCCCCCCCCCCCACTTCTCCTTGGTGATACTGGGTTGAATTTAGCACCTGCTAATCAGGTGCTGTACCACCTGAGCTACTCCCCCCTAGCCCTTCTTGCTTTGGTCATTCCTCAGATAGCTTCTCTCCGTTTTTGCTCTAGCTGGCCTGGACCTTACCTTGATGCTCCTATGTATGCCTCCCACGTAGCTTAGATAACAGGTATGCATCACCACACTCAGTTTCTTCGTTGAGATGGGGTCTTGCTAAGGCTGGTCTCAAATCCTGTTCCTCCTGGTCTGTATCTCCCAAGAAGCTAAGATGACAGGCATGGACCACTGTTCATAGTATGTCATTTCAGGCAGTTCAGTTGTTTATTTTGTTCTTTGGCTGGCAAGGAGACACCTTGGTCCATTCTTTTTTTTTTTTTCTTTTTTTTTCTTTTTTTGGTCATGGGGCTTGAACTCTGGGCCTGGGTGCTGTCCCTCAGCTCTTCAGCTCAAGGCAAGCACTCTCCCACTTGAGCCACAGCACCACTTCCAGTTTTCTAGTGGGTTTTATTGGAGATAAGAGTCTCACGGACTTTCCTGCCCGGGCTGGCTTTGAACTGCGATCCTCGGATCTCAGCCTCCTGAGTAGCTAGGATTATGGGCATGAGCCACCGGCGCCTGGCTTCCCTGGTCCATTCTTAGAAAACTAGCTCCTGACTGTCACCTGCAAATCTTTTGACAGCTTACAACAGCAAAATTCCTTTCCCTGGGTCAAGACCCTGGGGCTTAGAGAAATTGTGTCTGGAGTTGCCCAAATTTAGTTGAGGTCCTTCTGGACTTTTCTCTGTGGGAGGAGTTTCAGCTACACACTTTTACTGACTTGGCTTGCATTTCTCCCGTCAGTCTCACAAGATTAGGGCCTTCTCATTCCATTTCTAACTTCATAGGACCACTGCAAGGGATTCTAGAAAAGCCCTTGTTTCTGTGAACACATAAGTGAGAGAAATCAGCTCTGACCATTTCTACCGCATCTAATCTCTTAATGCTCTGCCAGGTTTCCCTCTGAGAGCCACTTGTCCATACCACGCCCCACTGTGCAGTTGAGTGACATTTCCCCTCCCAGATCCAGTGGTGAGCCTCGAAGGACTAGTGAGTCAGCTCCCATCCTCTCCCCTGTGCAGCAAAGAGCAGGTCAAGTTAGTTCTGGAAAACAAAGCCAGAGAGTGTTCAGTAACTGTGGAATTTTCTCTGCCTTCATTTTCGTGCCTTCAGCACAACTCAAAAAAGCATGAGGCCCTTGTGCAAAAACAGCCATCTTTGAGCCACCAGAGAAATCAATCTAGGAACAACAATAGTGCTAAGATTCCATAATACAGAAAAGAACTATAAAGGAGCCAAAGCCAAAGCCATGATCCAGACATACCTGAAAGCCCACGCCTCCTGAATCTATTTTTTTTTTGGTCAACTCTGGGCCTGGTTGCTCAGCTCTTTAGCTCAAGGCTAGCACTCTACCACTTGAGCCATAGCGCCCACTTCTGGCTTTTTCTGTTTATGTGGTGCTGAGGAATTGAACCCAGGGCCTCATGCATGCGAGGCAAGCACTCTACCACTGAGCCACCTTCCCAGCCCCCTCCTGAATCTTAAACTGACTCCCAGTAGGAAGCCACCTTTGGTCTGATTCGCCAGTACATAGGGAGTCCTCAGATCGTTTATTGAGTGAGAGGCTGGTCAGCTCTGGAAAGGGCTGGGGAAAGCAACATCTCTGTCATGACAGGGGATGAGGTGGTACAATTAAGAGCCACAGGCACCATGTTCTCCACATGGTAGGAATTCAATAAACAGCAGCCATTCGCTTTGACATTTTTATTGTTAGGGTGGTAATGATGGTGACAGGGACATTCAAGACAAAAGAGACAAATGGTTACACTAAGATGTCAAAACAGATCCTTGAATCTGGGATCTTCTCCCTCCGTTCACTTCTACCCCAAGCTCTACGCCAGCCAGTCCCACCCACCACCCACCCCATCCTGTCTGGTAGAGAGGGCAGTCCCATGGGAATGCTGGGCCTGGGCCCTGTCACCCGCTTTAGGGGTAAATACTTTGAGCTCTTGGAATAGCTGCCATCTCTTCTGTAGCCCAGAGAGGGGAAAGATAGACAGGATCTCCTAGAAAAGGGCTAAAAATGGAATCTAACTTTCTCTGTTCCATGTCTGATGAAACTGGGCTCAGAGAAGGGACGGAACCCACCGAGGACACACTGTCCCAATCAAGTGGATGTTTTCATCCACATTGCATCAATGGAATGAAAAGCCACCACACCCACAGCCTTCCCGGAATGTCCCAAATGCCTCCACGTCCAGGAAATACCCACACCAAAGCCTCCAATCACTGCTGCAAAAAGCACCTCTTCCAGGAAGCCATCCTAGCTTTCTCTCCAGACTCTGGCCTGACATTGCTGGTGTTTCCTGCCACAGCTACACACCAGCAGGGCCCCATCCTGACCAGGTCATGACTCCAAACAGACCAGACACAAAAAACAATTGTCTCAGAACCCTGGCTCTTCGCAGGAAACACCCCTCCTGCTGTGGCCAAGCCTACTTGGACCCAAAGCTAATTTTCGGTTGTTTAGGAGGCAGCTTCTCAATGACTCACTGTTTGGGCCGTCATGATCCAGGCCTGGAGCCAGGGGCTGCCAGGAGGTGCCCTCGTTAAAATCAAAAGGAAACGGGCAGCCAAGTGACCCTTATTCTCGGGGCCATGAGTCATAGCCGCTGGGTGTCCCAGGCAGGTGGACTCACCTCTCTGAGCCCTGGCCTCTAAACTTCTCTGAAGTGTGTATGGGGATTGGGGGGCGGGGGGCAGGGATTCAAGCAGAGGCTCTGGAAGTGGATGGGTGGGGCAGGAGGCAGGTAGCCCTGGGGCCCAATCCATCACATATTTACTGGACTTTACTCTCACATTCAAAAATCACAGCCCAGGGATCCCTACCATTCAGCCTTCACCTCCTGACTCCAACGCAAAACCTCTCCAGGGACTGTCACCTGTGGCTGGAACAGTTTGTGCCTGGATGTTCCCATGAACGCCAGCCCTGGCCAGTTTCTTGATGTCCTCTCCCCGAAAAGAAACCAACCCCAGGCCCCAACTCAATGCCTGTAACCCAAGCCAGGTGTTTAAACTCAAAACCTCATTCTGACCTTGGTCTTCGTGGGCCTCTTTCCTCCAGATTAAAAATATTATAAGTAATTCAGGCACTGGTGGCTCACGCCTGTAATCCTAGCTACTCAGGAAAGGCTGAGATCTGAGGATCATGGTTCAAAACCAGCCTGGGCTGAAAAAACAAAAAGGTCTGTGAGACTCTTACAACCACCAAAAAGTCAGAAGTAGAGCTGTGGCTCAAGTGGTAGAGCGCTAGCCTTGAGCAAAAGAAACCTAAGGGACAACACCCCCAATACTCTCTCTCTCTCTCTCTCTCTCTCTCTCTCTCACACACACACACACACACATACACACACACACACATACACACACACACACACACACACACAGATAATTAAACTTCACAAGTTCATTAGAATCAAGATGGACATAATCCATTAAAGTATTATAGTCATCCTTCTGACTTTATAAGAAATTAGAACAGGGCTGGGAAGGTGGCTCAGTGGTAGAGTGCTTGCCTTGAGCTGAAGAGCTGAGGGGCAGTGCCCAGGCTCAGAGTCCAGGCCCACGACCGGACCCAAAACAAAAACCAAAACAAGAAATTAGAACATTTTGGAGGGCTTCCTGATGTAGCATGGGTACTGGGCACTGCCCTTACTCTGCCTGGGGTAGGGAGGGGGAAGGTGGTCCTGGGTAAGTCCTGTGGGCTTCCCAGTTTCCTCCCGCGTAACATGGAAGTGACCCAGGCACCAGCCATGTGGCTGCTGAGGGCTCACGGTGACGCTGCTGGAGCATGCTCAGTGAGAGATGGCAGTTTCCAGTCCCCTGGAGGAGAAGGCACAGGTGTACCCCCATAGTACAGACAGAAAAGCTAAGGATGGGAACAAGGGAAAGGCCCTGCCCAAGGCCAGATGAGAAGTGGAGGAGCCAGGACTCCTGGCCACAGACCCAGCAGGATCTAAATGTTGATGGAAGTGGATGGTCAAGTTAGCCCAGTCAAGAGCAGGTGGAGAGCAGGGAAGGCTAGAGGAAGGGCGTCTGTTCTGCTCAGGCAAAGACAGACTTGACCGCTGGGGCTGTCAGTCACTGAATGGGTACTATAGGGATGAAGGAAAGACACCAAGAATGACAAGCAGGCATAGTCATTCACGCCCAGCCTGGTCTGTGGGAACTAAGATGGAGATCCTGGAAAGGGCAGGTGATGGGATGGGAAGGGCATGAAAGGGAAGAGAGCCATGCAGTTGCCCCTACCCCACCCCCACGTCCTGGAAGCAGAGCCCATAGCTGGCCCCTCCCCTGGGGACTTAGTCGGGGTGTCAGTCAGAGAAGGATCATTGCATCACTGGGTCCTCAAGGGTTAATGATGGGGGAGTAGACACGATCTGTGTATTTAACTAATTGGGAGGTGCCCTGAGATCAGAGGGCCCTGCTCCTCACTTCCTCCTCCTCAGCAGCTACCGCATCTCTGCTCACCTTCCCCCCAGAATGCAACCTCCCCTGCTTCCGACCTTGACCTTCCTGTGTCTCCTGGGTAAGTGACCTTCAAGGCCTCTCCCATCCCATTTGGCAACCCTCAGCTCCCTAGATGTCCTTGATCTGCAGAGGACCCCCCCCCTTCCTGCCACCATCCAGGGGCTGATTCTGAGGCCAGCAGAGGGAGGAGAATGCAGTCTGAAGGGGCATGGGGGTGCACAAGACAGGCCAGCACACCCAGGGCTCCTCTCTGCCCTGGCTTCCATGTTTAGCCTCATCCTGCCTCGGTGGGCAGTGGGCACTGCCCTGTGACTGAGTCAGGAAGATCTGGAGGAATCCAGGGAGGTCTATTAGGGTGACCAATATAGCTTTGGGGGGTACAGAGATTTGGGGTACAGAATATTCTTGGGGGAGACAGAGGCCATGAGAAGGGGCAAGTGAGTGATGCTCCAGGAGGGAGTGGGGAACAGGGGGTGTGGCATGATGGGGGGGCGGGCTAGGAAATTAAATATCAACTTATCATTGGTGGCCGGGAGAGGTACTTCTGGGAGAGGCGCTTAATTGGCCCATCAGAGAGAAGCCTGGAATGGGATTTGAGGAAAACAGAGTGGCAGGTCACGGGGAGAGATGCTTGATGCCCCTGAGGGGCCCCGTAGCCTCCGCCCTCCCCCCTCTGCAGTGGCACTGGCCCATGGGAACCTGGTTCAGCTTGGGATCATGATCGAGAGGATGACAGGGAAATCCGCACTACAGTATAATGACTACGGCTGCTACTGCGGGGTTGGTGGCTCCCACTGGCCTGTAGACCAGACTGACTGGTGAGGAGTTGGACAAGGGGGCCCCTGGGGGGGGGCGGGAGGGAGGATTGGGGGCCACCTGATGAGCAGGGGACCGACCCTTTCCTTTGAACTACCTTGGGCCCAGCCCCCAGCAGCCCCTGGTCCGGCCCAGCTCGGCTTACAGCTCTTGACCATGACCCCAATAGGTGCTGCCATGCCCATGACTGCTGCTATGGGCGCCTTCAGAAGCTGGGCTGCGAGCCCAAGCTGGAAAAGTACATCTTCTCTGCTGGCTTCCGTGGCATCCTCTGTGGTAGGTAGATAGGTCCTAGAGTGGCCCCAAACATGGCCAAAATATGGTGGCAGGGGCGAGTGGGGGAGGGGGAGTCAGCTTAAGACAGAAACCCCTGGACTAGGGAGCATGGCTCAAGTGGTAAAGGATCACCTAGCATGTTCAAGGACCTGGGTTCAAGGGCCAGACCCTGGGCTGCAACACAAGCTCCCCCCCCCAGGGTCATGTGACACTGGGGCCCAGAGGCTCCAGAGCACCTGCCTCAGCCCCAGGTGCTTCCTCCCAGCTCGAGGCTGAAGGGACAAAGCTAAGTCACAGCCTGGAGACCTGGAGTCATACCACCCCCTCCCCAGCATGAGATCACTACCACACAAGCAGGAGCTTTGGGCTGTGGCCCTGGTCCCCAAGCCTGATTCGCCCTTGTAGGATTGGCAGGCTATATTTCCTCCACTTTCCACACCCCATGCCCATCTGATCCCATTAATTTCCTTCTGATCCCCAACTGGAGAAGCAGCATACACCAAGAGAGCGAGAGAGGAACTAGAAGGCAAGAGAATCAGAGGACCAAGCCTTTTTGTCACCTAGATCCAGGTGCTGACTGGAAGGAGGGAGAGGGGTGCAGAAAGGATTTGGGTGGGTAGGCAGAGTCCCAGCTCAGATCTCACGGGGGAGGCACTGAGCTAGAGCCGACTTACCTACCTAGGCAGAGCTGGCAGAGCTGGCTCAGCATCTGACTCCTGCAGCTTGGTTAGGTAGTGAACGCCCGTCACTGGGGGGAAAGGGGGCAGCCTATGCAAGATTGAGACAGTCCACTGTCGGGATGGTACTGAAATCGATGGTGTGATCAGAATCCTTGTGAGAAATATGGATCTTTGATGGGGAAAATGGGCACTAAAGCCTTCTGAACAGGGAGATTTATTTGAGGACAAAACAAAAAAAAAGAGCCACAGCCCACAACCCCTCTGGGTAGACAGTAGTTACTGTAGAAGGCAAAGGAGCCTTCCAGACACAACTGGTACCTGTAGTGCTCATGCCAGCCAGCTCTGGGAAGGAGAGGGCATTATGATTCCCAGGGGATAGCGAGGGGGGGGGGGTCCTCTGTCCACTCTGATAGAAAAAGAGACTCTAAGCATGCCCTAGCTTTGATCTAAGAGCCTTCAGCCTAGAGAAAGGCCCACCAGGGGCAGGCACAGGCAATCTGGGGTTGGCTGCACATTTCCTTCTTCTTGACAGTCCAATATGCCACCGCATGGGGAAAGGACTTAGAAATGCCTCCTGGTGGGGCGCTGGGGAAAGAGATCATGAGCCCCCTGATCTCCCTGGGGCAAGAGAGAACTCAGGACTGTCTGGTGGCTTGGGGGAGAGCAGGAAAACCACAAGAACAAAGTGTCCCGGGCCTTCCTGTGCCTTCCCTTCCCTCCGATCCCTTGAAGATCATCTGTCCCAGAGACCTCCGCACCCGCATGGGTCCCCATCAGCACGGGCTGAGGCTGGGGTTGTGGACGTGGAGCCATCTTGTCTGTGCCTGTGCTTCTTTCTGTTCACCGTCCCAATTTACCTTGTCCCATCCAGCCGGCAGGACTGTCTGCCAGCAGAAAACCTGTGAGTGTGACAGGAAGGTTGCACTCTGCTTTCGCCGCAATCTGGACACCTACAGCCGCAAGTATGCGCACTACCCCAACAGGCTGTGCACCGGACCCACCCCACCCTGCTGAGGCCCGCTCACCTCCTCTGCCCCACCCCAGCTGCTGCAGGCCAGGCCTGGGTGAGCTTGGAACCAAGCAAAGCCAATGCCTCCTCACCCCTCACCCCCTCACCCCCGCCCCACAGTGTTCCCACAGCCTGGCCTTCTGGGCCTCACCTCCCCACCCCACCCCTGTGTTCCCAGGTACCAGGGGGCCATTCCATGCCCATGACTGACAAACTCACCCCTGGGATCTCAGCTCTCTCTTCCAAGGAAGTGAATAGTGTTTCCCTATAAATTGAACCCTTTGCTTCTCAGTGCCGTCATCCTAGGAAGTCATTGGTCTACGGTTTCATTGGTTCATTCAGATTTTGAGCACAGCTCGAAGCACAGGGACACACGGGACTAGATGTGACACTAGTGCCACACCAAAACACCAAGTCTGTAACACCCACACAGGATCTATAACACCGCACTGGATCTTTTCCATTTTCCATGAAAGCATTCTTCTGTGGTTCTCTTCTAATTTCTATAGTTCTCATTCAAGGCAATTGTGGCAATGGCCATGTCTGACCAGATGGCCTAATCTGAGAGGCATAAAAAATACCAACCTAAAAATATTGTCCCCACTGTCATCTGCTTGAAAATGTGTCTACTCACATTGACTGTTTCAGAGGCAAAAGCCATTGTAGAACCATCTTACCCAAACCTTCTTTCCTTCCTTCCTTCCTTTTTCTTTCTTTCCTGGTATCTTTTCTTTTCTTTCTTTCTGAGCCAGTACTGAAGCTTGAACTCAGGACCTTACGCTCTTTTTTTTTTTTTTTTTGCTCAAGGCTGGTGCTCCACCACTTGGGTCTCACCCCTGGTTCTGTTGTTTTGCTGGTTAATTGGAAATAAAGAGTCTCATTTTTTTTCTGCCCAGATCCTATGATCCTCAGATCTCAGCCCGCCTTGAGTAGCTAGTATTATAGATAGGAGCCACTGGCACCCATGCCAAACCCTCTTTCTTGGCCAAGGGGCATCTGGGAACTGAAGAACAGTCCTTCTCCCCGAGGGGTTCCTTATTCCAGACCCATCATTGCTTTAGGAAGTTGACATTGGTCACTTCAATACCCCATTCTGGTGGCCATGTTAACCAAACCCAGGAGGTCTGGAAAGACTAGACACCCAGGGAAGGCCAGCTGGGAGCCCACGTAGCTGAACAGGGTGCAGAGAGGCCAAAAGGGCTCCACATACTGGGGTTGCCAAGGGGGCCCCAGCAGGAAGCACTCAGCCGACCCTGGAAGCAAGGTGCTCCAGAGGGTTTTACTAACTCTAACTTGGATAGCTCTACCATCTAAAACTCGCAGGTGGACTGTGGGTTCACAAAGAGCTTACTCAAAAGACACAAAGCCATGCAAATGCATTGCACAAGGCAGATCTCACAGGGGACGCTCCATAAACATCCAACCCCTTCGTCCCTTTCCTAGCGTATATAGAGCAGTCAGGACTTTGAAGATCATAAGACATCAAAGGGATGTGTCATGAACTTTCAAATGTGAAGCAGCTCTATGCTAGCAAGAAGGAAACACGAAACAGATGTATATTCTGCTGTTGTCATTGGCTGAATGCACAGGAAGACCAGGCCTTAATAGCAAAAATGGCCTGGGTGTGGGGTGAGCATAAGCTTCATTTGTCAGGAAAAGTGGTCTTGAGGCGCCCTCTGGTGTCTGTCTTTTTCAGACTATTAGGGGAAAAAAGTTGAAATTTGGCCTACACATTTTTTCCTTCGTCCTGTGGGTAAATAAAGTGTGCTTCTGGGCTGGTACACTTTCTGGACTTGCCTTTTCAATAATAAACGTCCTATGAGATCACGAAAGAAGGCTTTGCAGCCACCTTAGGGTGATGATGTTTCTGCAGAAATGGGAAAATCAGGAAAGAGGGTAGGGGGCGTGGCTCTGGTAGGGGTGAAATGGAGAGGGATGATGGATCTAAGGGACAATGTATCTGGTGATCAATCTGACAGTTGTGTAACTGTCCAACAAGGTGAAACCTGCAACTCAGGAACGGCCTGGTACGGCTGTTGACACAACCCCTTAGACCAGGGCTGAGCCCATTGGTCACAGCTCACCCTAGCCCGCTTCCCAGGTCTTAATAAACGTTCAATGGATGAAAGTAAAAAGTCTGTCTCAGGTCCATTTGTGTGCATGTCGACAGTACACACACTTGATTTCCAGCTACAGACTCCACAAAAGGCCTGCATAAAAGGGGAATCTTGGACTGAAGTCAAATGTTTCAGGAATAGACCTGCATTCTGTTAAGATTCACTGTTCAATGGGGTCCATGGACAGCACCAGCAGCAGTGGAAGAATCTTGGTAGAAAGGTGGTCTCGAACCTGATATATCAGAACTGATAGGTTAAAAGACCTCCAAGTATGAATATGAAGGTCTAAGAGGTGCTGACAAATGGCCATGGCCCCAGTCTCTGTCTACATTTGTAGACAGTCTGCATTTCCTTACAGACTGATTGTGACAAGATTTAAAGGCATTAGTATATATGAAAGGACATTTATGTGGCTAGCAATAATGTCCCATGAATGAATGTCATAACAAGAACATGTAACATTAATTAAGCTTTTGGTATTTACAGGGCACTCTTCTAAGTGTTTTATATAGTGTTAATTCATCAGATGGACAGACCGATGGATCAATGGACAAATGGATGGATGGATGGATAGATGGATGGGAGAAGGGACTCCATCATGGCTAAGAAGGGCACATTGTTACATTGATGTTTTCATAACTTACCTCTCCTGTTTTGATAACCGGAATTTGTTTCTCTGCTTTTGTTCTATTAGCTGAATCTGAAGCACTGAATTAAATATTACTTGCAGAATAAGAGATCAGAAATTACAACAAATTTTCTGACTGAAGAGTCCAGTGATTTCACTGACATTTCCTCTGCTTCTTTGGGGCTCTTCACAGTGCCACTGATAAAGAACTGATCCTTTACCCAAGTTCATTCTCTCCTTTAGTAAGCTATACAAACTATGGTTCTGGCCTTTTGCTGGGTACTGGGGACGGATCAAATATCCTTGTTAGCTAGCAGACAGGCATCAATTATTCTTGCTCCTGTAAGTTCTACACTAAAGCTAAGAACCTAGGACCAAAGATTCCTAGCCCTCCATTTTCCATCCAGTCTGTCATATCTATTGATGATTTGATTTCCATTATGTCACTCCTTTGCTCCCCTGTCATGGCTCCCCCTTGTTCCTCAGCCCCTAGCACTTGAGGCTTGGTACTATGCATGTTTCCAGTCTCCTTTATCCAACTGCATCAATGCATCGTTACCTATACCACACCAGGCCCTGTGATGTTTTCCTGCCTTTGCTCTTTTGTAGCTTCCCTCAACCTAAAAGCTTTCTCTTTTTCATACATGCTTTGGGGATGTCTCAAATTGTTACATTCCCACCTGGAGATTTTAGACCTCCCCAAGCCCTGCTTACCCAGTTATTTGGGCTGCAGTAGGGTAGGAGCAGGCAACTCTGGGATCAACTACTTCCTCTGCTTCCACTATGTGATCTTTAAGCAGTTATCCATTCTTTCATGTATAAAATAGGGCAGAGCCATCACCTTCCTCTTCCTCACACAGTCTTAAGGATTACATAAATAAACTGCAGATGCTCCATCATCTTCTGCATCTCCCACCCCAGAGAGGCTGGATAGAAATGATAAATATTGTATTTGAATAGCCTCTGGGCTCCCTGCCATCTGAATGACCATTTATCTTAAATGGACACTTGTTTGAAAACCATGTGCCCTTGGATCAATGCCTCCAGAGGCAAATAGTTGCAATTGGATGAAGAGATGGTATGGCAAGAAAGTAGTACTGTGGCTCAAAGTGGTACAGCACTATCCCTGAGCTACAAGGAGCTCAGGGAGAGCAGCTAGGCCCAGAGTTCAAGCCCCAGGACTGACAGAAAAAAAATTTTAATCCTGGAGGGTGCTACCTCTTTAACTCCGGGTCAGAGGACATGCAGCAGCCATGTCCACAAACTGAAAAGGCAGCCCAGCTGGACCAGGCACAGCGGATCTTTAGAACTCAGCAAGCACGGTGCTACTCACCCTGTGGTAAATGCACAAGAAGCGTTTGAAAAAGGAACATCTCAGTCTTCCTCCCAAATGTCTGTCAACTCTCCCATAAAAACCTGGGGCTTGCTCTCCACTCTTTCCACTCCAGGGTTTTGCTCATGTTGAACCTTCAGTGCAAAATGCCTTTGCTCCTATTTCTGCACCCTCTCTCTCCTCTCAGGCCTATTCCTAGGGTCACCTCCTCCAACAAGCCTTCCTTGATTTCTGTGCTCATGTCACAAACATTTTCCTTTAGGGTATATGTTTATGGATCATGGTTAAGTGTCACTTTCATCTCCTGGGCTGAAGGTTTGGGAAGTAGAGGGAGAGTACATGTGGGGCTGATTCTCAGATGTTGGAATGAATGAATATATTGCCATACAAAGGTTCAGCACTTTCTCCAAGGTGGAAAATGTTTCCTTCTGCCAATCAGGATCTACAAAGTAGCATGGTCATAGTCTTTTCCAACCAAAGAACTCTAAATCTCTGCCTTGCTACCATCTGTCTTCCTGCCCATGTCAGCACATTACACTGGACAAACCCACATTGCTGCTTAGGCACAGACTGAAAACGTAGGAGCCATGAGTGCCCCCGCCGGTGTCTGGCAGTGGGAAACTCACGAGCTCTGGTTTTCAGGCAGCTCTCTGCAGCATCCACAAACAGTTCTCAAGAGACACTGGCATAGCCAGCCCCTTGTTCCTCTGTGGCGTAAGAACATTTCTGTCCTTAAGAGTCATTCAAGGGGCTGGTAAGGTGGCTCAGTGGTAGAGCGCTTGCTTGCATGCTTGAAGCCCTGGGTTTGATTCCTCAGCACCACATAAGCAAAGAGGAAAAAAAGCCGGAAGTGGTGCTATGGCTCAAGTGGTAGAGCGCTAGCCTTGAGCTGAAGAGCTGAGGGACAGCGCCCAGGCCCAGAGTTCAGGCCCCACAACCAGACCACCCCCCCAAAAAAAATGTCATTCAAGTCACCTACTGCACGGAGGTAGGGGAACCAGCTGAACCCCTAAATGGGAGTTGAGGAAGGGGCACCTAAAGTAGGACATCGCTTTGGTCCTTAGCCCCATCCTCAAAGTACATGCTGTGTGTTGAGTTATGGACAACAGGCATCTGGGCCTCTGGGGATCAGGAACACAATAGTTTGTCTAGACTCTCAATCAGGCATGGATAGCGATGACAGACCTTCCCTGCCCATGGCTGGAATATTCTCTTTCATCCAGAGAACCATCCAAGCCCAGGTTTTGCTGTCAGAGAGCCAGGGAGCCAGTTCTGAAAGCTGCTAACATTGGGTGAGAGTCCAGGCCAAAATCCTGAAGGTAAGTGAAGTCTGTGTGCCAGCCCCACGCCTCGACTGGCCGGGGTCCACATGTGGACCGGGTACCTGCTGGGGGCACTGGCACTTCCTCTCGCTGGTCCACTGTTCGCCCTGCCCCTCCGCAGAGCTCTTCCAGGTGATCCATGTTCCTGTCACTGCTGTCCTCGGCCAGCACACGAGTCTCCTTGCTAACAGGGTCTCAGGCCAACCTTCGAGGATCAAGACGAATGGCAGCTGACAGACAAGCTCTCTCTCGGATAAATGAAAGTTATCAGAGATGTTCTCAGTCACACAGCAGGGATTGTGAAGTGCTCAGGTCTTGAGAATGGCTCTGCCCATACAGAGGGTCTGTACTCACAGACCCCATGGAACCTCACCCCACCCCCAGAATTCTCAGGGTGCTTTTGAGTCTTTTCTCACATGGTAGTTCAATGTTGGTAGAACAACTTGAGTTGGGGAAGCTCAGTGGTAGAACACTTGTTTAGCATGCATGAGGTCCTGGGGACCATTCCCAACACCAAAACAACAAGGAACTTGAAACTTTTTTTTTTAAACTAGAATTTATTGATATACAAAACTCCATTTCATAGATAAAGTGGCACATCTTTGCAGCTTCTATTGCACCAAGTATTAAAGGTTAAAAACACAAAAAGAAACATTTGGTTTTGAAAACACTGCAAATAGCCAAGTACAGTACTTTGGTAAATTAAAAAAAAATGGTTCAGATGAACATAATGTGTGAAGGACGGCTTAGGGGAATGAACTACAGACATGGGACATGGGTCATGTTTCCCACCACAAATAAAGCAGACTTGTGAAGTCTGTGGATCTGGACCCAATGGAGGTCTAAGGATCTCCAGACCAAAGCTTCAACAAGCAGAGTGCAATTAGAAAAGAGATGCCTTGCCCTCCTTCCTAGGGGACCTAGGAAGCGGAGCACAGGGTGCTGAGTCTGACTCCCAGCTCTCTTCAGCTTAGTGCAGCAGAGGATACTGGGAAAAGGGCTGACACAGGAAATGAGTGCCAAGAGCAGGACGCTGTGAGCCTCACACTCGTGTAGATCCAGTTTCAACCAAGGGACATGACCTTACACCACAGGCAGAGGTCTGTGGCTAAGCTGAGTAATTGTCAGAGGTGGATGGCAACAGGACCTGCTAGATGCTGATAAGCAAAGGAGCAGAGCCCGACTCGGGTCTCCTCCAGTGATCCAGACCTTCCATGCCCACCAGCACAGGGGGAAAGCCAGGATCATGAGTACGCCCTGCTTCAGATAAACTCACTGTGCAAAAGTGCATGATTGTATGGAACTTAATTCTTCGTACTAGTACCAGCCCCTTCTCAAGTAACTATGCAAGGATGTTGGATGTTTTAATCAAGCTCAATGTAGTCCTAGTAAGGACAGTTAAACAGAGACTGAATGACTGGGAGGAAATCCTTAAGGGCTGAGGTTTCTGAAAGGGATTTTTCACCTGGGACAGAAGAGGTCCAGGCCATCTACAAGGCACAGCCCTTCCCTGGGCCCTCTCAGAGGCACGGCAGGGTATACACTGTACTAGTCCTTGTAAGAAAAAAAGACAATCTCAGTATTGCCTTCACATACCAGAAATTCTCCCCTCTCTACTGTGTAATGGAGGGCTTTTCATAACTTAAGTGTGTCCCTGCTGAGACACACCCAGAAGAAAGTGCGCGCGTTACACGGACTCACAGCTTCAACACCCCTGCTCTGTAGCAGAGATAAAAGAAGCCAGGGGAGATGAGAACAGCAAAATGAAATCCCTGCATCAGACCCCAAGTCTACCAACACAGACCAAGGCCTGAGGGGAAGTGGGGAGGGCTATGTGTCTACCAACAAGGGCCAGCGAAGGGCCATGGAAGGGATGAGTCTACCGAGAAAAGCTCCACCCATCCTCTTAAAGACCCTTCTGCTCACAGACTTAGTCCACTCTTACTAGGGATCTAAGTTTCCTGTGACCAGCTGAGTTCATCTCACAGAGGTAAAACTGAGGGCATGCTATCTTGACCCAGTGAAACCCAGGCAGACACGAGCTTCTGAGGATGTGAGAAACTGCACACTGACCACAGGGCCTTGTGACAGTGCTCCTGATACACGCACTGTTGTGTGAGCTGCTCCTCCCCCGGGCCACCACCCTAGTTCACGTTGTACAGCTCCCCAGAGGGGCAGGCAGGCGGGACATCTCGCTGAAGAGCCCGGCTCTAGCTGCTCACAAAGGATGCCTCACTTCATTTCCCTCACAACCTGAAGGGGGTGGGAGTGTTCTCAGAGCTTATAGAAGAAACTATCTGACTAGCATGTAAAATTCTGCCACAATTCCTCAGCCATATTTTGCTCCTAAAAGGCTATGTTCATATTGTTGAAATATTTAGAGTACATATACAATCTATCTTTCTCACATCTCCTGGTGGCAACTACATTATGTTAAAATTGTGGCTCTATATTCTATAGTTTAAAGCTTATTGCCACTAATTTTTCTCTCTCTTATTAGCCTTTTAAAAAGAGCTTCGTAATGTCTAAAAATCCTTCCTCTACATAAGGCCAGTAAGCAGCTGTGGACCACTACTCCAGAGGCCCCACTGCAAGCTACCAAGACATAAACCAGCCCCAACATAGGCTGGAGATTAAGATGGGGGTCAGTTTGTAAGACAGACTATACATGAGGACAATCTCCATCCAGAGAGTAAACACACCTGGCTCTGCTTTGGCTGCTAGCGAAGGAGCTGATAAGTGCTCCCTAAGGCCACTAAGCCTATGGCTTCTGTCTATCTCGCTTTAATGAGACTAAGGCAGTGAGGCCTAAATTCAGACTCGTAGCTAGAGGACACCAGTGAAGCTAGGCGCATGTACCCGTGTCTAGTAATTAACACGCAAACAAACCAGCTATAACTGGAAAGCTGTGAAATGGTAGGGGGAAAAAAAAAAAACACTACAGCCATTTGACTAGTTTTTAAAACTGCCACTGTATACCAGAAATGCTGAGGCCTATTACCAGAATTAAAAAGATTATAAATTAATGTTCCCAATATTCTGTAGTAATTTCTTAGCAGCTTCTAAATTTCTACAACCCAGTAGGCCCAAGACTACCTTCATTCAGCCATAAATAAAGCAGCAGCACTGCTGCCAGCGGTCTCCTGTGAGCTTTCTCTGGCTTCTGGATTTCTGTACACCATCGCAGTACTCAAGCAGTATTAAGCATAAACAAGACTTACGATCCAAAAGGCCTCAGCTGGCCGGAAAGGACAGACAACAGACCATGAGTCTGAAAACTCAGATCCCAAGGCCCTTTCACACAGAAAACCACAAACTAGGACTCCATGACATGTAGAGAGAAAAAATGCTGTAGTTTCTAAATGTGCAACATAACACAACGGACTGTGGCCAAAGCACAGCACTCTTGAAGCTGCTCCGGGAGATTTCTGGTGCTCTGACCACAAAATGTCCCTAACTTGAACAAATAAACATGTAAAACTGTCATTAAAACTGACGAACGCAAATGTCCAGCTGGTAAAGACAGGGTCTGCGCAGACAACGGCGCATGTGTTCATGTAAGCAAGCCTTGCATAGTTCTCCCTTGCCTCTGGATTCTTGTCGCTTTGAAGTCTAAGCACTGGGGAGATAACAAGAAACTTACCTTTGACCCATTCTCTATAATCTGCTCAAATACTAGGTTTGCAGGAGGCAAAGACTACATCCAGGCACATATGACGGTGCTGAAGTTCAAGGCCAGCCCACTCTGGATGGGGAGAGCCCCTGCCCACTGCCCAAATGTCTGGCCACTTCCCTGCTGTTGAGGCCACTGATCAAATATAGAGATGCTGCAGTTTTCCCAACACTGAAATCCCAAACGGGGCTTAAATAAAAAGAAATAAAAGACACCATGTGTGGGATTTCATTTCCACATACTAATTTGACCTAGGAAGGTCAAATTACCATTTATTTCTCTGAAGGCATCTAAGTCTAGATTAGCAGGGAAGAAAACATAGGTGTTTAAAATGAAAAGCCTTAGATATTCTTCCTAACTTCTCCTGTGAAAGCAGGTCATTTCTTTAGGATCTTCCCAGGCAAAAACCCAGGAGTCCCCTGACTTCTCCCTTCTTGATTATCAAGAAAAAAAAACACCCAAAACTCATCCCCACTGTAGACTTCTTAGCAGAGCCCAGGCCTCACCCACTGCATGGCTCAAGTGTGGGTGAGCCCTCCGCACAACTACACTATCTGAGACCACACCAGAGACAGGCGGGAGGGAAACAGAGCTGTTCAGGGTAGCCGCAGGCCACCCTGCCAATCACATTACTTTGGAAAATCACTTCCTGGATTCTTTTCTGAGTAACTTGAATAAGAAGAAAATAAAAATCTAAACATATTCCTGAGTTCATTAATAAATCACCCTTTATGTTAACATTTGCCTGAAAAATGAAACTGAGGAGTTGGTCATTCCGAATTTCTAACAATTACTCAAACTATTTCATAAACAATACAGCAAACTCACCCCAAGGGTGAAGGGGCAATCCCAGAGTCACTGAACTCTGATTCTCAGGGCAAGGCTTTCCTGGTCTAATCAAGCACAGCACTGACAAAATCCTGAACAAAGAGGCAGGCTGAAAAAAACTAACGGAGTGTGAGCTTGTGTGGGCTGTTGGTGGGTTTCATACTGTCCCATGATGGCCTCCCTGGAAAGCCTGGTTCAAAGCATTCATTGGCTCACAGGACGCCAGAGTCAGATGTTGAGAGCAGCGAAGGTCTTCACCAAGGTGACCTGTGTGTTCACATCTGCTTCGCTTCTGCTACTGTCCCCATGGCTACTCCTGCTCTCCAGGGCTTTCTGGCGGTGTCTCTCCTCCTGTCGTTTCTTCTTTTCTAGCCGCTGCTGCTCCCTCCGTTGCTTGTTTGTGACCTGCAAGAGACCACCACTGAGTCACCAGCACAGCTGAGTCAGGCTGCCTGTTAGCAGCTCGAGACCAAAAACAATTTATTTTCCATTACTGCTCAAATTTGCTTTGCAAAGTATATCTCCTTGCTGACATAGCAAAAAAAATCAACTCCTTCTCCCCAAATTACCCAAAGAGGGCCGGGCACCGGTGGCTCACGTCTATAATCCTAGCTACTCAGGAAGCTGAGATCTGAGGATCGCAGTTCAAAGCCAGCCCAGGCAGGAAAGACTATGAGATTCTTATCTCCAATTGACCACCAGAAAACTGGAAGTGGCGCTGTGGCTCAAAGTAGTAGTGTGCTAGCCTTGAACTCAGGGACAGTGCCAAGACGCTGTGTTCAAGCCCCACAACCAAAAAAAATAAAGAAAGAAAGAAAAAAGAAAATTAACTTTCAACTCCTCATATCTGGCACAAAATTTCAGCAACCCCCCATTTGCCCTAGCCTTCAGCTGAAGAGCTCAGGGACAGCTCCCAGGCCCAGAGTTCAAGCCCATGACTGACAAATAAATAAATAAAATAACGGTGTGTACATGCCAGGAAGCGCCATCACACAGGAACACTAGGCAGAGAAGGTAGTTTCCGCCAGTGAACACAGGACGATTTTTCAGCATTTGGATCCTCCCACATGTGTGGCCCCACAGTACAAGGCATTCATTCTGCTTGAGAATTTTATGCATCCCCGCCCCTCTTCCCTGAACCATTTTCCACCCCTTTCCACTATTCATATAACAAATCAAAAGAAAGACACATGAAAATGAACTTCACGCCTGTAATCCTAGCAACTCAGGATGCTGAGATCTGAAAATCATGGTTCAAAGCCAGCCCAGGCAGGAAAGTCTGTGGGACTCTTATCTCCAATTGACCACCAGAAAATGACAAATAGTGCTGTAGCTCAAAGTAGTAGTGTGCTGGCCTTGAACTCAGGGACAGTGCCAAGACCCTATGATCAAGCCCCACAACCAAAAAAAGAAAAAAGAAAGTGAACTTTCAACTCCCCATATCTGGCAACAAAACTTCAGCAACACCCCATTTGCCTGTCTGCCTCTCCTTCCTACCTTTGGGAGCTGGTTTTTATTTGCTTTGTTTTCTTCACAGGGGATAGCCTGTGCCTTATTGTTTTCAGTCTTGCCTTCATTTAAGCCCTGATTTCCAAAGATTCTGGAGCCGCTGCCACCCTCCTCCCATAACAGGCCACTCAGCTTCAGTGATCGGCCACTGGGCTCAAGGTTTTCAAGGCTCTCCTCTGCACCTTCCAAAGAAAAGCATGTTATTAAAACCAAGAATTTAGCCAGGCACTGGTGGTTCACACTTATAATCTCACAAGGGTGCGATTTGAGGATCAAGGTTCAAATATCCATGAGACGTTTATCTCCAACTAACCACCAGAAAACTAGAAGTAGAGCTGCACAAGCCTTGAGCAAAAAGCTCAGGGACATCACCCAGGTCTGAGTTCAAGCCCATGACCAACAAAAAGAAAAGAAAAGAAAAGAAAAGGGGCTGGGTAGTTGGCTCAGTGTTAGAGTGTTTGCCTTGGATGCATGAGGCCCTGGGTTCGATTCCTCAGCACCACATAAGCAGAAAAAGCTGGAAGTGGCACAGTGCCTCAAGTGGTAGAGCGCTAGCCTTGAGCTGAAGAGCTGAGGAACAGCGCCCAGGCCAGAGTTCAGGCCCCACGACCAGCAAAAAAAAAAAAAAAGAAAAGAAAAGAAGAGAAGAGATGAGAGAGAGGGGAGGGAAGGAGAAAGATACACAGGAAGGAAGGGAGGGAGGGAGGGAGGGAGGGAGGGAGGAAGGAAGGAAGGAAGGAAGGAAGGAAGGAAGGACAGACTGACGGGAGGGAAGAAGGGAGGGGGGGAGGGACAAACCCAAGAACCTGACAGAGGTACAACCCAATGCTATAAATTACCCAGCATCCCGTGAGCCCCAGATCACTTTCTGAAGAAACAAAATTCCATTTCATGTAAACAGATTGGGAACAAGGGACAAAATACTTGGTAGAGCTAAAGGATGAATATTAACCTTGTGATCACAAGGAAGCTTGTAATCAGCTTCCTGACAGCAGAAGGGTTTGGTTCCTTAAAACTACTTTTTAAAATGAATTTTCAGAGAGAAATCTTTCATTTGTACACAAACCCCAGAAGAAGTTCTCAAGTGATGACATCCAACCCAGCAGCCACCAGTCACATGTGGCAATTAAAATTAATTTAAAGTAAACGCCATTTAAAATGCCCACCTTATTCCCTACACATCAAGTCCCGCCATACTGGGAGTGCATGTACTGGACAGTGCTGTTCAACACCACAAAAACCAAGGTCCTTGTGTTTGACAGAGGCACAGCAAACACGTGAAGTGGATGTTAATGTACTTGATCACGTGGAAAAAGTTTACGTAAGTAACTTGAGAAGTCATCTTCCTTCCTTCCTTCCTTCCTCTGAGTCAAAATTAAACTTAGCTTACAGAAAAGCTATCTAAATGATCTTTAGCTGATAGTATGCTAGTATCATAAAAATTTCCAAATAAAGGTATCTCACCCTTCCACATGTCTTTTGAATTTTACAAAGATATCCTATTTCTAGGGGGTAGTCTTCCCTGTCACTCTCTACCCCCAAGACTAGATCGGGTATCTTCCATGCACTCCTGCATAACTCTCACCCCACCCCACATGTAATTGTAGGCCAGCTGGCCTATCTGACTCCACTGTTCCTTCTCCAACCCCAATTACCTTCTCCATGCAGATCCAGGATTAAGGGGAAACAAAACAGCACATGAAGGACTTCAATAAACTAAATGATCAATTAGGTTGACATCACCAACAGAGCCAATTAGGAAGCTTATAAACAGCTATCACGGACTTACTATTTCTTTTCCCTTGGTTCATCTGAAGCATGGCAATTATTGCAGATTCAATATTGTAATTTTCGGCTTCCAGGTTCTGGACTATTAAATTAAAATCCTATCCAGGAAACAAAGAAACACACTTTAAGACTCTAGATACACTTTTCTATCTAGTTCTGCTTTATCAAGCTCATCAACACAATGATGTTATTTTATTGATAGTTTTGGGTTTTTTTGGGGGGAGGTGGGAATCTCACTTTGTAGCCTAGGATGGTTATGAACTCAAATGCTCCTGCTTTCACCTCCTGACTTAAATACAAAGATGGACACGAGGTTTCAAGACCTTTCCACTTAGAAAATACCAATAGCAACAGTCATGTGAAATAACCACTCAAAATATATTTATAAATTGATTCCCTCTATGAAACTACACCTTTATTAGTATAACATACTAGTCCAAAAAAATTAAATTGACCCCGTAGCGCTTTGAGAAGTATTGAGTAAAGTCTAGCAAATGAGGAAATGAACGACCAGCTCACATTAAGTCCTCTCAGGACAGCTCAAGCTCATTAAGACATCCCATATCACCTAACTGCACACCTGTCTTGGCCAGGCTGGTGCTGGCATACTAGTGATGCTATAACAGTAGCAGGTAAGCCACATGCCCAGCCCTGTGGACAAAGCTCTACTGCATGAAAGGAATACTAACTGAACATCCGGTGGCATTGCAGACTTTCTGAACAGCATCCTCTACTTCATCTCTCAAGTCATCTTCAAAGTCAGCTCCCTTTGTCTTGATCTTTTCTTTCTTATTTGATTCACTTTGATGAAGCATCTGAAACTAAAGGAAAAAAGAAAGCTCAACAACCAAACCCCATTTATCTTCAACACAGAAAGAGACTCTAATATTAAAACATTCAAATTTGTAGGAGGGAAGAGTCTACAAACAATATGAAAAGCACAGCACTGAACAGCTAAGTCCCAAACACACGCAGAGATTCTAGGCCACAGCAGAACATAAGCTGGCCCAAGAGACCAGATGAACCCATCAGTAGGAACAGCATGAATGTTCCCAGTTTCTAGACATCAACACTGTGGCAATGGCCGCTGACTGAATAGCATACTTTAGCCTCAGCTCATTTCCCGACCTATGAGCAGAACAGAAGCAGATCCTCCAGGCTTCACTTGCTGAGCTTTACAGATCAATGCATGAAGAAACATACACTCAACTCTCATGTGGTCCAAGGCCCTGTCTGATTATCTGTGAACTCTGGGATACATGGCACAACGTGACTCACATCATCACCTCAGGTGCACTCTACCACACGGGAACCTGTCAGTCCAAATTCTAAAGCAACAAAGAGCAGTTGGCTTGAAGTCAAAGACGCCTTTATGACTGAAGCCTGAATCAGAAAAGCTAAAAATCATCCCCCTGTAACTATCCAACCTTCTCCTTCTGCTTCCCTGTAATGAAAGAGATTGGTAAATGTTTCTATGTTACTTTCGCACATAAAATATTAATGAAGTCCAACAATGAGCACCTTAGACTGTTCATACAAAATGATCTATTGTAAAATTATACCTGAACAACTTGGCACTGTCAACACCAATTGATTTAGCAATTACACAGCTTTGGAATGCTCCCAGAGAAAATAACACTACAAATAGAGGATTTATGTAAAAGTGCTCATAATAATGTTACTTACAATGGTGAATAACTACAAACAAGCTGAAGTCTTTGTACTATGGGTATAACTAGTCAACACTGCAAACTCACAGAATGATTATCTTCATTCCAATTAAAGTAAGGAACATAGGATTTTCACTAACCCTGTTATTAGTTAATACTTTAGAGGCTACAGTCAATGCAATTAGCCAGGACAACAAAATTAAAAATATAAAACTCAGGAAGAAAAACTCACTACTTACAAATGAGATAATTACATATTTTGGGGGAAAACAGGAGGATCAACAATAACAACATCAAAACTACTTCAAACAGAAAGAATTTTGGCAAATCATGTATTTTCTAAGAATCTACTATCTAAAATATATAAAGAACTCATTACGGGCGGAGAAGGTGGCTCAGTGGTAGAGCGCTTGCCTTACATGCATGAAGCCCTGGGTTCGATTCCTCAGCACCACATAAGCAAAAAGAAAAAGGCTGCAAGTGGCACTCTGGCTCAAGTGGTAGAGCGCTAGCCTTGAGCTGAAGAGCTGAGGGACAGCGCCCAGGCCCAAGTTCAGGCCCATGACCGGACCCAAAAAAAAAAAAAAAGCACTGTAGCCACTGTGGGGTTCTGGAAAAGCCTGGCAGTTCCTCCAACAGTAAAATTTAGAATTGACCATACAACCTAGCAATTCCAGTCCTAGATATAATCCACAAGTTTGGAAACACTAACAATTCACACAAAATACAAATAGGCCTTAAACATGGGAAATGATGCATAACCTGACTAATGAAAGAAATGCAAGCTGGTCACTAATGATTCACATTGCCTGGCTACTTAGTGGCCAAGATTAGGAAAACTCAGTTCAAGGTCAGTCCTGGCAGAAAAGCTCACAAGACCTGTTCTCAACCAATAGTCGGACACATGGCACATGCTTGTCATCTTAGTTACATGAGGCTTAAGATGGGGCAGAGTAATTCCAGGTCAGCCTGCGCAGAAAGTTCAAGGGACTCCCATCTCAAAAGAAGTTGGGAGCGCTGGGAAGGTGGCTCAGTGGTAGAGTGCTTGCCTTGCATGCTTGAGGCCCTGGGTTCGATTCCTCAGCACCATATAAGCAAAAAGAAAAAAGCCGGAAGTGGCGCTGTGGCTCCAGTGGTAGAGCGCTAGCCTTGAGCTGAAGAGCTGAGGGGCAGCGCCCAGGCTCAGAGTCCAGGCCCCATAACCAGAACCCCCCCAAAAAGAAGAAGAAGAAGAAGAAGAAGTTGGGAGACTGGGAATGTGGCTTAGAGGTAGAATGCTTGCTAGTATACATGAAGCCCTGTACCTCAGTACCACATAAACAGAAAAAGCCGGAAGTGGCACTGGGGTTCAATTGGTAGAATGCTAGCCTTGAGCAAAATAAGCTCAGGGACAGTGCTGGGGGAGGGGGGGAGAGGAAGTAGGGGAAGAGTGAAGAAGTAGTAGCATGCCTGCTATCCTAGCTACAGTGGGAAGCCAAAGTTATTAGGAAGATCAGGTCCAGGTATGCATCTAAGCAGGAAGCTGAGACCTCATGTCAAAAATTATCAATGAACAAAAGGACTGGAAGTGTGGTGTGCATTATAGACAGCCTAACTAGCAAGAACAAAGCCCTGAGTTCAAACCCCAAGTCTAAAAAAATAAAAAATGATGCCCTTAGAAAAAGCTTACATGATAATGTCAATCAAGCCGGGCGTTGGTGACTCACACCTGTAATCATAGCTACTTAGGAGGTTGAGATCTGAAGATCACAGTTCAAAGCCAGCCCAGGCAGGAAAGTCTGTGAGACTCTTATCTCCAATTAACCACCAGAAAACCAGAAGTGGCACTGTAGCTCAAGTGACAGAGTGCTCACCTTGAGCTGAATAGCTCAAGGACAGCATCTAGGCCCAGAGTTCAGGCCCCAAGACCCACAAACAAACAAACAAACAAATAAATAAATAAATAGAAGATAGCAATAATGTTAATCAGAAAAGGCTTATATAATATTAATCAAAAAGATCAAGAAATAAAACTATATAAATCATTTAATCTCAACCATCCTCTGGGGCTGGGAATGTGGCTTGGTGGGACAGTGCTTGCATAGCGTGCATGAAGCCCTGGGTTCAATTCTTCAGTACCACAAAAACAGAAAAAACCAAAAGCGGCACTGTGGCTCAAGTGGTAGATGCTAGCCTTGAGCAAAAGAAGCTCAGGGACAGTACCCAGGCCTTGATTTCAAGCCCCAGGACTGGCAAAAAAAAAAGAAAAAGAAAAGAGAAAAAAGAAAAAAAAAAGAAATTTACCAAATCTACCAAAACAGTAATAAAATTTGCATCCAGGTAGTTTGCATGAATTTTTATTTCCTTCTTTATTTTTTTCTGATTTCCTAATATAATATAGGTATGTTTCAACTTTAAAACATGAGAATAATTTTTAAATTTCACAGACTTTATATGCCTGTAATCATAGCTTTTAGCTTATGGTGAGAAAGCAAAAGGTTAACAAGCTGTTTTATCCATCTTTTTCATTTACACAAAAAAGTTGGAAATAATCAAACCCACAGATCCATAAACTTTCTACTAAAACAAAACAAACCAGTATACTACTTTCCAGATCCAGGAAGTACATCTCTGGCCCTGCTTCCTGTAGAACACACAAAACCAAGGCCTCACTCACATCAGTCTGGAGATGCGCAGGTGCTTCTGAGTTGTCATTGATCCTCCGAACGCTGTCATAGTGCTCTCCATAGCGATAGGCAATGTGCAACTCCCTCACACTGCTTTTGTCTGTACCCCGAATCTGCAAGCAAAAGGCAGAGGCCACTGAGGATCTGGGTGACACTGTTTTGGGCCAGGAAGCCCGGAAGCCCCATTAACAGACTCTAATTGGGAATGTGCCTAGGATGTGTCAATCAATTTCAGACTCCTCTCTGTCCCATCCTCATAGCCTTCTATGTGCTTACTGAATATGTTAACAATATGGAAATATATCTATTTAAAAGCACATTCAATACTCAGGAGCAAGTTTACAGTAAAGTTAAATAAGCTTACATGTCAGAGGTTTTAATACCTCTTTGGCCCTTAAATACACAGCCTCTTTGTAATGGGGAAGGGCTAGGAGAGACACAGACTTGTGGAATCTTCATCTCTGCTGGACCTTGAGAAAATGAGTATGAACTGCTGGGACTTCTCCAAGGGTCCTGAAAGGGAGCCATAGGACTGGATGGATGGTTTGATCCAGCACTTCATTTGTCTCATAGTAAATCAACCCATTCGTAGAGCAAAAAGATCATTTCTCATCAACCTCATAGTGAGACTACTGACAGCAACAACCAAATCTTCACATCAATTTCAAAACAGTGTTACATATAATAGGGCAGACCCACAGTACTACACAACCCTGCAGGTCCCACGCACAAAGCATCCATGTGAACAAACCGGGGTATACACAGCAAGAGAGGGCTCTTTGAAGTCATGCTTACAGAAGCTCTAAGGTCTAGTCTGCACAAACATTCCAAAACCTCCATGTACACAGAAACTAAAATTCTAGCACTGTCCCTTAGAAACCCCAGTAGCTTGTTGCTAAAACTCCACAACATCAGCACCTGCTTTCTGATTTTACTCAAAATCACAGATAGTATGATGCTCCTGCTAATTTAAACAATGTCTATGGTCTAAAAACAGCAAAAACCATGAGACAAACAGGAAGCTACATATACTTCAAACTGCTCAGTCATGGCTTGTGTAAAAAATAAGTAAAGGTTTATAAAGCAAAATCCACCTTCCCAGGTGTGCGGCCCTGTGTTTTGACAACACAGATCCAGATGCCCAGGAGTATTCAAATTTGCTCTAATAGGATATTTAAGTCCCAACATGTAGTGGTCACTCCCTTTGTCTCCCAAGAAGAACACAGGGAACAAAGGCTTATGGACTGAGTGGCACATCCCCTGAAGCATGTACACTCTGAGTTATAATACCTACACTTTACAAACAGGAAAACCCCCAGCAGTCACCAAAACTGTCAGCTGATTTTCATGAACTGATGACAGGTCTAGACCATTCACAGGAGTGTACACCCCATTTGTCACCAGGAGAAAGAATGCTGTTGTTAGTGTGAGCCTCATCACTAATTCAAGAACTCTTACTACAACAGCAGCAACCAAGGCAGTTTCAATTCTTAAAAATTTTATAAGAAGTTTCATTACACAAGAAGGAACATGGGGGTGATCCAGTGGAAATAAAAGTAAGGCTCATTATGCCATACACATTCAAATGATTTTGATAACTTCTGCTAACAGTAAACGTTGAACAACAAAAATTGTAACTAGAGAGTAGAGTACTCTTAGCTCACAGATCATTAGAAAGAAATACGATCGCTCTAGTTGCTGTTAGACATCTGGCAACACGGGCCCCCAAAGAAAACAGCTACTGTTTCACTCCTGCTCACTAGATCACAATTCCTCATCAACTAGGGGAGAATAATTCATTTTGTTGTAACATAATGTTGTTAAAAGGCCTTTATGTAGACACAAAAGGCTGAATTCTCCCATTGAGTGACATCCTGGGAAGGTAAAGCTGTAGGAGACAAATCAGAGAGTGGTTAGCAGAGGCCAAGGAGGGGCAGGCACTATAAAGGGCACAGATACCCACTTTACCGTAGAACTAGGCTTATGTTGACAGTGGTGGTTACTGTTAGGAGGGATGAAGAGGACAAAAGGAGAGGAGACAGAGATCCCAACAAGTTAGATCAGACTTCAATAAGGCACCAAGTAACACTGAGCAGAGTCAGAGATACAAGGAGCACAGAGGGGGGGAGGGGGGGCCTGAAGTCTAAGTGTAATAAAACAAGGGCAGCTATTAGTCTTACCAGGAGCTATGTGCACTTTGAGAAAGGGCCAGAGGAGAGGTTTTTATGTGAATTGGCCCTGGGGCAGGGGAGAGTGTCAGTGGGCTGTGAAGGCAGCACTGGGTCATGAGAGCAATGCAGATTCACATCAGTTACAGAACTATACTAGTCAAACCCAGACTTGCACCCTGAAAAGGATGAATTCTGAAGGATCCTCATACCTGAAAGCCCAGCTGCTTAGGAGACATAGAAAGCTCACAATTCCTGACCATTCCAGGCAAAAAGTGAGACCTTTCCTGATAAATAATCAGCCAAAAAAAAAATGCTAGGGTCCTGGGAGTGAGGATGGCTCAAGTGGTAGAGCCCTTGCATATAAAGAATGAGGCCAGGGGCTGGGAAGGTGGCTCAGTGGTAGAGCGCTTGCCTTGCATGCCTGAGGCCCTGGGTTCGATTCCTCAGCAACACACAAGCAGGGGAAAAAAAGCCCGAAGTAGCATTGTGGCTCAAGTGGTAAAGCGCTAGCCTTAAGCTGAAGAGCTGAGGGACAGCGCCCAGGCCGAGTTCAGGCCCCACCACCGGACCCAAAATAAATAAATAAATAAATAAATAAAGCATGAGGCCAAGTCTAAACCTCTATGACTGAAAAAATTAAGGGTACATTGGTAATATGTAAAGTGTATCTATAAACCTGACCTTTGTTTTGTTTTGTTTTTTGGTGCCTGTCCTGGGGCCTGAACTTGGGACTTGAGCGCTATCCTTGACCTTTTGTGCTGAAGGCTAGTGCTATTCCAATTAAGTCACAGTTCACTTCTGGCTTTTTGACAGAGATAAAGAAGCTAACTTTCCTGCCTGAGCTGGCTTTGAACAGTGATCCTCAGATCTCAGCTTCCTGAGTAGTTAAGATTATAGGTGTAAGCTACCAGTGCCCATTTTTTAATTGGATCTCATGTTTCTTAGCTATTTCCCTATTTCACATGAGCCACAGCCTGTTGGTTCTCGGCTGACCTTTATTTTTAAATGAGCAGAAGCCAGGACTAAGCAATTTAAAAAGAAGTATACGTAGGTGGCATTTGAAAAATGGTACCATAACCTTTATGACAACAGTAAATGTAAGTTTGTGTATGCATGTATAGATACGTTTAAGATGTTGTAAAAGTGCTGTGACAGGAATCTTTTCAATGACATAGCTAAGTGTGTGGGGGGGACCATGGATACACACTAACATGTTATCAACAATAATCCCTAGATAATGTGATTTTTTCTTGCCTTTATCATCTTTTCTGATTTTCTAGTTTTTCTAAAGTTTGAAGGTTCTAATTAAAGAATAAGTTAGAATGGCAAAGTGGTGGAGCAGGGGATAACAGAAATCACATGCCCAGTCTTCAGAAGCTAAGCTTCAAAGTAACAAAAAGCCTCTGAATTCCCTGGGAAAGAGTAAGGGCCTGAGGACCCAGCCTGAGAGCTCAGAGACCATGGAGAGCCTTGAGAGCCTGGAGAGCCTGCAGCTCCACCTTCTATTTTCCACACCCCAGAACATTTGGTTTTAAGGCTTGTTTGGAAGCTGAGGTTAATTAATTTAGGATACCAAAGATAAAGAATGATGGGTTGGGAAGGTGGCTCAGTGGTAGAGCGCTTGCCTTGCATGCCTGAGGCCCTGGGTTTGATTCCTCAGCACCACATAAGCAAAAAGAAAAAAGCCGGAAGTGGTGCTGTGGCTCAAGTGGTAGAGCGCTAGCCTTGAGCTGAAGAGCTGAGGGACAGTGCCCAGGCCCAGAGTTCAGGCCCCACAACTGGACCCAAGAAAAACCAAAACCAAAAACCAAAGATAAAGAATGGTGAGAAGAGTTGATGACCAGATACTTCAGGATAGGAGGAGGGGAAAGGAATCACAGAATGGCTTAACAATGTGTCTGTCATCCTATCAAGACTCTGTATTTGTGTAAAATCTTTTTTTGCCACAGAAGAAACAACAAAACCAATATGTACCCCTCCACAGATGACAGAAATAAAGCTGGCTATCTACAGCACAAGATAAACAATTATGTCACTATAATGAGTGTAGTCTGTTTGTTACCCCTAAAAAAGCCCAAAAACACACATGGGAATGTGTGTCCATCAAAACTAGAACTGGTAGGCATTGACCCCTTCTCACTTCAGGTTTTTATGGAATTACCTAAGGTACTTCCACATTAGAGCCTCTGTTTCCAAACTACCCAATTAACTGACTGCTGGACAACATTTACAGCATTTTAAGATTTCTGAATTAGACTCTAGGCTCTATCTGTATATAACACAAGGACTAATTCCAAGTCATCACAGATCCTTGGCCTTGGTCAGGCTCCTGGTCCACATAATTCTGGGTAGTTCAACATCACAGGTCAAGCCCCATCATCTCAAGCATCCCCAAAGCTAACGATGTAGGTAAATTCTTGAATAGGTGACCTACCTGCCACAAAGGGGCATTAAGCTGATGAATCACCACATTCAACTGATGATTTCTTGCAAAGGCTACAATTGCATCATTGCCAGCAAAAGTACCAGGCTTTGCCAAACTGGCCACTGCATGGAAATAAAAAAGAAAAATAAAGCCTTCATAATGAAAAAACTCCAAATGCACACATGCTTTGGTATTTAAGTTCAAAACAAGGCCAGGTGCCTGCATATTCAGTGTGGATATTGAGCTGGGTGAACCACATGCACACTGCTACTCAGGAGAGCACTCATTCATTACAGAAGGACCCATCCATTAACCCATCAATGAACAGTCACTAAGTACTTCATATATATCTACAAGGCACAACAAACACAAGACCCATGAGCGTGTACTAAGGTGCTTATAACACATGCATCTTGTACTGCTCTGATCATTTCTCATTTACTTGGTTTTGCTTCTTTAGAACACCTTTACTTAAACCAATTGCAACCAACAAATCAAGGAGGGAAGAACTTCCAACTTTAAACTTAAGGGGTGGGGCACTTCAAAGTTAAAAAATACTTCAAAAACCTTCCACAGTAACTACCAACAAAGCTTTTTAATACTGGCGTCCACTTCCTGCCATACAAGCAATGCAGACATGGGTAGTGTCAATAGTGTCCCAGATGAGGTCACTGACAACATACAAGCTATTCTGTCAACCCTGACTCCCACCCAACCAGGCAGAGTTGGCACTAGCTCCCAGATCTGCAGTGATGTCTTAAGGCCCATCATTTATCCTTAAAAAACCCCCTGGAAGGATTAGTATGCATGCTACTTGACAAGAGAAAAAACTGAAATGCAGAACAGTATGTAACTGCCCAAGGTCACAGAACCAATGAGCAGAGATTTCACCCAGGAAATCTGGAAAGACCTAGCTTTAGATCATTCTACGAGTTTGTCCTCAAAGAGTTTACTGGCACTACTAATGCACACGCTTCAGTAAGGATATGTAACAAGGATTATACCTTTTTCAAAGGGAGGTTGCCCTTTATCCCAGGTCTCTACCAGTTACAATTTTCAAGGGAGAAAAGAGTGTGTCTCCTATGATTAGCTCTAGAACCACACCTGACATCCATCCTTTACCAACAGCAAGCAATCAATAAGGGGAAGGGGGTATCTCTGGATACCAAAGCTGGAATATGGCTGGGATAATCTTCCCTGGGTGACAACACATCACATACTGTCATACATAAATGCCAAGAGGATAATACTTGAGGACAAAGCAAGCTTTCAGACTGACCTATATATCTCTCCCTTTGGCTAATTTTTTTTTCTTTTTGTGCTGGTCCTGGGACTTGAACTCAGGGCCTGGGAGCAGTCCCTCAGCTTTTGTGCTCAAGGCTAGCACTCTATCACTTGAGCCACAGCTCCACTTCTAGCTTTTTGGTGGTTACTTGGATATAAGAGTCTTAGTGACTTTCCTGCCCAGTCTAACTTCAAACTATGATCCTCAGATCTCAGCCTCCTTAGTAGCTAGGATAATTACAGGAATAAGCCACCAGTGATTGACTCCTTTGGCTGCTTTTGGCCTGGTGCCTTTCCCTGCAAAACTATAGCTGTGACTGAGTTCTGTAAGTACTTAAAAAAAAAAAAAAAGCAAGTTTGACTAACTCTAGGTCCCAGGATGTGGTAATAAGGAGAGAGAAAAAAGGTGAATGAGACTAACTTCTCAGCTCTGACAACTAAGCTGACAAGGATAAGTAGGAGTTAGCAGAGAACAATGGGTGACCTTCCCAGCAGACACAAGAGAGACTGGACTGAATTGTATGGCAGGAACTTGGGATGCTGAGATCAGGGGAAATGGCAAGAGATAAAGGGAGAAGAAGGAAAATCATGGGTCATGATGGGCTAAAAAGCTCAAACTATCTTGAGATCAAGGAAAGCCACCAGCAGGTTTCAGTTAGAGAGCACATCCAGACCACCATCCTGCTGCGATGTGGAAGAGGCTAAAAGGATCAAGCACTGAGGATTCTGGGAAAATGGCCACCAGAAGAGGGAACAACTACTGAGGCAGAAGTGACAGACACAATGAATGACTGGAAGAGGAAGCAGGGAGATGAGGCATTCAGAACACTCAGGTTTCTGGTCCTGATGTTTGTACAGTTAGAAAAAGATGTGCTCACTCTCTGAAGCCATGATTTGCAGGCAAGGGCTGAACCTAAAGACACAGTCAAATACCAGCGTAAATCAAGTCTCTAGTTAAGTGAGCCATTTGTCTATTTATCAGCAATTATTACATTATTGTCTACCAGATGTTCAGGGTTTCCACAGAAACAAAGTCTTTTCTCTGCCCTCAATACGTTAATAATATGACATGCAGCCAGACATTAAAACAAGCGTAATGAGTCTGACCTGACCTTCAACCAACGCGCAGGAGAATGTACAGACCTATGCTTCTTTTCATTTGTTTTGCCAGTCTGTGGAATTTCAAGAAAGACCTTTCCACTGCATATCTAAAGTGACACCACCTCATTAGCAACTGAAGGTTTAAACCTCACACTCCCATTTCCCTATCAATGTTCAAAATGGAATTTCACATCACCCAATAAAAACTCATTACAATCAAAGTGATACTTTTAACCAGGAAAATGACATAATTATTTCATTTTTGTTTTGAGGGACAAGGTCTTTCTATAACTCAGGCTTGCCTTGAACTTGCTATGTAGCCCAGGCTGGGCTTGACTTTACAAGCCTCCTGCCTTACCTTCCCCAGCATTGGGATTACAGGATTGTGCAACCGTATTCAACAAGATAGTTCACTTTATACAACATTAAACTACAAAATTTACCCCATCCATACACCTATAAATGCTGACTCTGATAAACTGTTTCTACTCTTTGATAAAATGTGTCTGCTAGACTAAGTAAACACACAAGAGAGACCACTACACCTTAGTAACAGGTATAAACTACCCACCAAGACCACTACAACTCTGACAATCATAAACTACCCACCAAGACCACTATAACTCAGAGACAACCATAAACTACACACCAGTTTTGCTGCTGTGTCCAGTGTCTAATAAATGGATTTTTGAGGAATGAGAAGAGCACTGAGGTCACTGATCACATGACTCCCAAGCATGCATCTTCATCCTGCTGCTGCAAAGATGTTCTCCAAGCACACACTTCAGACCAGCCTCAGCTTCCCCATTGCATCTTCCCCCATCACCTCCAGTAAGTCCTCTTGGTTACACTACCAAACTCATCCTGGAGTGGGCCTATGCTCAGGAGCTGTCTCTATGCAGACCTTCCCTCCTCTTCTCTCACCTGGCCAGTGTGGCGGGCCTCCAAACTAACCTCCCTCCCCAGTCTTCATCCAGGTCCACTCATGATGGCTCCAGACTTAGTTATCAAAACATAGAAATGGTTCTCTTTTCTGATAAGAGATAAATATAAGCTCTGGGACAAGAATGCTATTCATAAAACATAAATGTCAGCACCTAGGACAGTAAACCCTCAGCAAGTATGTGATGAAATTTAAAGGTTCATCACAGTTTTGATTTGTGCATGCTAGATAGGAACTAGTTAAAACCATTAGTTAACTTGTCTCAAAGAAAGTAAATTATGTTTGGGTTTTTGATGAGAAATTAATGTGACATTAGTGATTTTTCTGATTATAAAAGAAATGATGACTTAAAAATCAAAACACCTTGAGCTGGGAAGGTGGCTCAGTGGTAGAGTGCTTGCCTTGCATGCATGAAGCCCTGTGTTCAATTCCTCAGCACCACATAAGCAGAAAAAGCCAGAAGTGGTGTGTGGCTCAAGTGGTAGAGCGCCTGCTGCCAGCTGAAGAGCTGAGGGATGGTGCCGAGACCCAGAGTTCAGGCCCCATGATATAAATAAATAAATAAATAAATAGGGGCTGGGAAGGTGGCTCAGTGGTAGAGCACTTGCTTTGCATGCCTGAGGCCCTGGGTTCGATTCCTCAGCACCACATAAGCAGAAGGGAAAAAAAAAGGCCAGAAGTGCTGCTGTGGCTCAAGTGGTAGAGCGCTGGCCTTGAGCTGAAGACCTGAGGGACAGCACCCAGGCCCAGAGTTCAGGCCCCATGACTAGACCCAAATAAATAAATAAATAAATAATCAAAACACCTACAGAAGACAATTTTAAAATGCTGGTAGTCCCATCATCCCAGATAATTTACTAAGAGCTTACTTTGTTATCTAATTTAATCTTTACAAAAAAGAATGCTTTCAGATAGTTGCTTTTATTGTTTTCTTTTTATAGAAATTTAGAGGTCAAGAAAAAATGATCATAGGATGTCAGTATCTTTCTAGGTCTTTTCTACTGCTTTAAGTATACAACTTTTGAAAGATACATAGCTGGATGCTGGTGGCTCACACCTGTACTCCTTAGCTGCTCAGGAGGCTAAGATGTGAGAATCAAAGTTCAAAGTCAGCCTGGGTAGGAAAGTCTGTGGGACTCTTACCTGCAATTAAGTACAAAAAAGCTGGAAGTGGAGATGTGGTTCAAATGATTAAGCGCCAGCCTTGAGTGAAAAAGCTAAGGGACAACACCCTGACCCTGAGCAGGCCCCGGTATAGGAATAAAAACCAAACAGATCTAGATACTGATACAGATATAGATTTCATGACCAGCTTTTCAGGTCACTTAACATGTTTTGTTAATCAACTGGTTGGTTCATACAGGCAAAGTTCTCTACCACTCAGCCACCAAACTCATCACTTTTATTAAGTTCACATACTCAAAATTTACTCCCAATACTGAGCATGCTGCTTATTACAGAATATGAAAATGAGTATTTGTGGAATAAACTAATGCCATAGCTTATATAACCAACCCCCAGGTAGAAAGTAGAGGATGCTGATGGGTTTAATTACCCAATGCTTTACTCCTGAAGGATCTGGTGTCCTACAGTGAACCTACCATGCTTCTCAAAAGGAATGTCATCTTCTACAAAGGGTTCAAAATCCTCCCGCTGCTTTACCATGTAGTCTACTGTCTCTTGTCGGTGCTTGAGATGATTTCGTGAGTGTCCCTCCAGTTGATCACCAAGGGCTCTGAACAGGCAATTGCTGTCAAAACAAAAATGGTGATCAAGACCTCTCAAAAATGAGCTTAATTCATCTAAAACAGTGATGCTTTGTGCCAAGCCATCCATGGTACTCTTTCATGCTCAGAAATAACACCTCAGCTCAACAGTACCAAAGGCCACAGGGACAGCCCTAAGATAGCTTTGCAACTGCATTGCTTTCCTGAGAGGCAACCAAGAGTAGAAAACCACTGATTTCTCTGAGCATCATCTCTTCAACAAGTGGAGCTGGTAACATAGGATGCAGACCTTAAAGGTCATTCCAGGCCTAAGGACTAACATTCCCAGATCCCCTTCCAAAAGGATGTCCTGTCTGTAACTTCTTATCTGAACCAAGCTAGAGAATCATTCATTTAACAAAAGGTACTCAAAAGATAGCAGTATGAAAACCTCCCAATCCACTTAATGAGTGGGCAAAGCTATGAGAAGGCACCCAAATGACAAACAGCTGTGACCCAGAAAGACATCCCAGCCAGACCCTTGTACCTGGGTAAGAGCAATGCCAGGTTTAAATACTGCATTTTGTTGTTCTAAAATTAAAATGCAAATAATGAGGAACTCCAAAAGTTGTCTTCATTTTCAAATCCCTCAAAGGCTCCTGAAATTCCAAATTATATCACAGAGGCCCAGATAAGGGAGACAATTCCAATCTAATTCTCTTAAAAACCAAAGAAACTGGAACCACTCTGAAGCCAGTTTGATACCAAGCTGTTAATACTCCCAAATGAGAAACTATGATATTCTAATTCTAAAACATAAATTCATCACCTTCAGAAAAATTTCAGACCTGTGTAAGAGAGACAGGTTTTGTTTTTCAACTAAGAAAGGTTTTTCATAGAAAGTTATATAGCAGCAGCAATCTCTTCTACAGTATACGGATTGGTACTTGGGAGTATTTAAGGGAGAGTCTATAAATGAGAAATCAAGATGTTGTGTGACTACTTGAGACAAGATTCTAGAAGGATTTGGAATAAGAAGTTCTATACACTAGAGTAGGGTGCTTATTGCTAAAATCTAACCATGGCCACCTTTTTTTTATTTTTGTTGGTCATGGGGCTTAAATTCTGGGCGAGGGTGCTGTCCCTGAGCTCTTCAGCTCAAGGCTAGCTCTCAGTCTCACAGACTTTCCTGCCCAGGCTAGCTCTGAACTGCAATCCTCTGATCTCAGCCTCCTAAGTAGCTAGGATTACAGGCGTAAGCCACAGACACCTGGTTTCTCTCAAACTTCTTAAACCTTTAGCATCTGCCACCAGCAATCTACTCTTCAATCTAGTCTAAAAGGGATGATTTTGCATAAAATTATAAATGTAGTTATTTCATGTTTAATATACCTAAATTCACAACATTCTCAGTAACATGCTTGATAAGAACTTTCAGTAACATGGGCAAATGCTCATAAAGTCTAAAAATAGGTATGAAATTAAATATACTCCATGAACTTAACCATGATCATCAGTGCACCATACACACAGAAATACACAAGAAAAAAAACACCAAAACCACCACCGAGGCAGTTCTTACAATGTGCCAAGGACTGCTAGGAACACCTCACTCACGTGTACTCCAAGCTTAGTCTTTACAATTCTATGAGCTACTATTACCAACCTTGGGGCAACTTGCCCAAGGTCACAAAAACGGTAGGTGGTGGATCAGGGATTCAAACCTAAGCCACCTGGCTCTAGCCTGCACTTTCTCTCAAATGTTAATGCCAAGTTGTTTGCCATAGTTACCCCAAGGTTTCAGAAATGAGAGAACCAACTGTTAAGCTTATCCTAATACGTATCTCCTTTACCAAACTTTGAGCCCACTAAAAACAAGTCAAGATAACCTAAGGGGCTGGAAATGTGACTTAGTGGTAGAGTGCTTGCCTAGCATGCATGAAGCCATGGGTTTGATTCCTCAGTACCACATAAACAGAAAAAACTGGAAGTGGCACTATGGCTCAAGTGGTAGAGTGCTAGCCTTGAGCACAGAGAGGCTCAGGGACAGAACCCAAGCCCTGAGTTCAAGCCCACGACTGACCCAAAAAAAAAAAGATAACCTGAAACCACTTGCTTTTCTGATAGGATTACAGGTAGTGATACAGGAAACAAACACTAGTGAGCTGGGTTCCCTCAGGAAGCCTGGCAAGAACAGAACGCAGCACCATTTCCCTGAGGACCTCTAGGAGATGCAGCAGTTTACCTGAGCCACACACACACAGTGGGCTGCACACCGTGGACACTGGGGATAACCCTTGGTTGACAAGGCTGCTCCTAGCACTGCGGATACTCAGGAGCACCCTTGCCCATGGCTCTCCAGATGCCAGCAGCACACCACCAACCACCTCCCTCCCACCAGCTGTGACAACCAACAATGTTTCCAGGCATTGCCAAAAACCCTCTGGGAGGCAAGATCATCCCTACTTAAGTACCACTGTGCTTAAGGGATAGGTGTAAAGTCTTGCATTCAAGCTCAGAAAAACAAGCAATTACAGAACTCTGCAAGTACCATGTTTCCCACAGGGTACATGCCTACAGCACAATGCTATCTCAGGTTACTCAAACTGTCATCATACCACAATGGAGAGAGTAGGGATTATCAACCTTCATTTTGTAGAGTACCATAACTTCATTGTATTTTTACCCTAAGACTACTCAATAAATACTAACACAGGAAAGAATCTGATACTTCTCAACAGCATATATACAGGCAACCACATCTGTGTTATACCTCGTAGCACCCAATTAAAGAAGTAGTGACAGGAGGTTAGGTTCATGGAGCCGGATCAGACGCTGGATATAACACTGTCCAAAAACAGAACCTCAGAAGTGAGATACATAAGAATTCAAGTCAAGCTAGCCTCTTCACCTCATCTCCCCTTACGTCTACACCTATACTCCTATGATCCTGCGCAACTTGTACATCTTCTCGTCTATTTTTTTTCCTAAGGTGCAAAACTGGGACTCAAACTGGATACATACTTTTACTACTGGCTAGTACTCTGCCAACTGAGCCATGCCCTCCAACGCTACAACTTGTACATCTTTCAGAACTATAGTACTCCTGGGCCTGTGCATACTACAACCTGTTATTTCTCTTGCCTAGCTGCAATCCTATCTGATCAGATCCTGACCCAAGCTAAGAGACACCTAGCACATTTTACTCAATGAGTATTTGCCAAATGAGCAAGGAGCCTTCCTGACCACCATTTTCAGAAGTGTTCACCACCTTTTTCTCCATAGTAACACTACAATCAAGATTTTTTTTTTTTTTTTTGTCAGTCATGGGGCTTGAACTCTGGGCCTGGCCGCTATCCCTGAGCTCAAGGCCAGCGCTCTACCACTTGAGCTACAGTGCCACTTTCGGTTTTCTGATGGAGAGCAGAGTCTCATGACTTTTCCTGCCCAGGCTGACTTTGAACCATGATCCTCAGATCTCAGCCTCCTAAGTAACTAGGATTACAGGCATGAGCCACCAGTGCCTGGCAAAAATGTACTTTTTTATGTTAGCTGTTTTCAAAATGTGTCCCAAAGCTTTGGGGAAGTAGAAAGGAAAACTCTTCTAAGACCTTCTTAGGATTTCTGAAGGTTCAAAAACAAAATGCTACTTTGACCATCTTCATTCTCATCTCAATGTATGGTGCTCTCTAGAAGCCATGTGATCTATGGGTGAACACTCATACATCAAGTATGGATAGCTAATGGAATGTACGTGTTTTAAACCTGTGCCTCACTGCTGGTGGTTTACACCTATAATCCTAGCTATTCAGGAGGCTGAGGTCTGAGGATCATAGTTCAAAGCCAGAAAAGTCCCCATGAGACTCTTATCTCTAACAAACCACTCAAAAACTGGAAAGGGGGGGAGGGGGGGTGGGAAGGCGGTTCAGTGGTAGAGTGCTTGCCTTGCATGCATAGAGGCCCCAGGTTCGATTCCTCAGCACCACATAAGCAGAAAAAGCCGGAAGTGACACTGTGGCTCAAATGGTAGAGTGCTAGCCTTGAGCTGAAGAGCTGAGAGACAGCCCCAGGCCCAGAGTTCAGGCCCCACAACCAACAACACAAAAAAAAAAAACCTGGAGGGAAGGTGGCTCAGTGGTAGAGAGCTTGTCTTGTATGCCTGAGGCCCTGGGTTCAATTCCTCAGCACCACATAAGAAAAAAGCTGGAGGTGGCACTGTGGCTCAAGTAGTAGAGCACTAGTATTGAGCACAAAGAGGCTCAGGGACAGTGCCCAGGACCTGAGTTCAAGCCCCACAACCAACAAAAAAGACAACAAAAGTCTATCCCTTACCCTTTAATACAGTAAAAATAGCTAGAGTCATATTTTAAAAATGAAAAATCAGCCGGGCGCTGGTGGCTCACGCCTGTAATCCTAGCTACTCAGGAGGCTGAGATCTGAGGATCGCGGTTCAAAGCCAGCCCGGGCAGGAGAGACCGTGAGACTCCTATCTCCAATAAACCACCAGAAAACCGGAACTGGCACTGTAGCTCAAGTGGTAGAGCACTCGCCTTGAGCTGAAGAGCTGAAGGACAGCGCCCAGGCCCAGAGTTCAAGCCCCACGACCGACACACAAAAAAAAAAAAAATGAAAAATCAGATCATGGGTTCCACCGTAATTCTTTTTCAGCATTCTAAGCTTGGGTAAAGAACTGCACCTTTAAGCCAGGCACTGGTGGCTCACGCCTGTAATCCTAGCTATTCAGGAGGCTGAAATCTGAGGATTACGGTTTAAAGCCAACCTGGGCAGGAAAGTTCATGACTCTTATCTCCAATAAACCACTCAGAAAACTGGAAGTACAATGGCTCAAGTGGTAGAGTGCTAGCCTTGAGCTGAAGAGCTGAGGGACAGCGCCCAAGCCCAGAGTTCAAACCCCACAGCTGACAAAAAAAAAAAAAAAGAACTACACATTTTTAATGGGTTTCATCATGACACTTTCATCCATGCACATTTTAAGAACACAAATGGTCCTAAAACCAAAATACTGGAGATCTCCTCTTGGCTTTCTGCTAGGTGATGAGCATCTTATATAATTCTGTCATCAAACCTACCCCCAGCACCTTTCTAAACAATGTGTAATGAATTAACTGGTGAGTACTGAATACATCCTATGTAACTGTAAACACAACCAAGTGCAAACTATCGCTTAAAACACCAAGGCAAGGGGCTGGGAAGGCGGCTCAGTGGTAGAGCACTTGCCTTGCATGCTCGAGGCCCTGGGTTCAATTCCTCAGCACCACATAAGAAAAAAGCCGGAAGTGGCACTGTGTGGCTCAAGTGGTAGAGCGCTAGCCTTGAGCTAAAGAGCTGAGGATCAGCGCCCAGGCCCAGAGTTCAGGCCCCACGACCGGACCCAAAAAAAAAAAAAAACACCAAGGCAAGAGGATGGGTCAATCACCACACCTCAAAGCACTGAAGAAAAAAGTGGGAAGCACGAATTAGGACCAGTTAAGGCTTGATCAGTAGCTGCAGTGTAATGTGAAATCAAGAAAACCCCTTCTGGGGCTAGGAAGGTGGTTCAGTGGTAGAATACTTGCCTTGCATGCGTGAGGCCCCGGGTTTGATTCCTCAGCACCACATAAGCAGAAAAAGTGGGAAGTGGTGCTATGGCTCAAGTGCTACTTAGCCTTGATCTGAACTGCTGAGGGACAGTGCCCAGGCCCAGAGTTCAGGCCCCATGACCAACAAAAGAAAAAAGAAAAACTCCTTCTTTCGCAATTTACATGAAAGGCGATTCTACATGGTCTCTTAGCTCCTTCTTCCTGCTGCCCAACCAAGAGGAGGGTAGGCTACAATGCCTGCCCAGAAAGCACAGGACCTAAGTTCAAATCCCAGGAAAGTGTTCACTCCCCCTATTTCCCCCAGACTCAGACAGTGATACATGTGGGAACCAGAGTCCTTTAAACCTGTCTCTGCAAAGAGGATGCTAACTGCTCTTCTTCCTCCCTCTCTCCCTAACCCTGTTCCTTCTCCTGGATCCATGCTCCTGCATCCGTAACTCTGTCCTGAAGTTACTTTTCCTTCCCTTCTTCCATCCTCTCCTTCCAGCCCCCATTCATTCTTCCCCCGTCCCCTTAGACAGCTGGATTGGGATTCCGGTCCAAACCCCACGCGGACTTGGGGTACTTTGGCTACGAGGAGAAACAAAGACGGGAGGAAGTGAGGATCAGGGCCGCTACCCCTGGCGGGGCAGACCCCCGCAGATCGCGTCTCCCAGATGATCAGGGACGGAGGGGAGGGGGCCCACAGCAAGCACTCGGGAGACGGCATCACCCGGCTCGCCCGAGCTTCCACCACCTCTTCCTTGGGTCATCGTGGGGGTGACAGCCCCTCCCCGCAGGCCTCGGCTGAAATGTCACCTCCCGGCCCCCGGCGGCCCGGCTCCCGCGTCCACTCTGGGGACCCCCGGGGCGAGCGCCCGGGGCGGGCCCGCTCCGCCTCAGGATCTGGCCCCACGCCCCGCGCCCCGCGCCGGGCCGGCCCCGCGTCCCCGGCCCGCCTCACCCGTCCCCCGGCACCTCCCGCAGCTTCAGCCCCAGGGCCTGCAGCTGGTTGGCGAAGCTGACGAACTCCTCCTCGCAGCCGCCGCCGCCGCCGGGCTCCGGCCGGTTCCGCCGCTCCTTCGCCAGGGCCCGACGCGCCGCCCGCTCGTCCCGCTTGCGCTCGGCCTCGGCTTTCCGGCTGCCGCTGCCCGGCCGGCTCCTCGCCACCGTCTGCTTTCGGGACATGGCCCTGACCCGCGTCCCGCAGCGGCAGCGGGAGAAGCGGCGGGACCGCCGGGCGGCTGGAGCGGCGCGGGGAACAGCCCGGCGACGGCAGGGAGGCTCCTGCGCCTGCGCGGGCGCCGGGCACCCTGGTCACGTGATAGGATCACACCCACGCACGCACACACATTCACACCTCACTTCAGAGGTCTGTCAGGCAGGTGCCATAGAGAGAAGCCGGGAGGGGTAGAGAGGCACGCAGCTGGTTGGTTCTCTTCCCCCCTCTAGTGGTGGGCGGTGAGCAGCTGGTGGAACCGGAGGAAACCAAACCAGAAGAGGAGTTGGATGTTAAGTGTGGGAGAGGAGAGAAGCAGTACAAGTTAGTAAAACAAGGAGAATTAAAGGGAAAGGGGTGCCGGGCGCGGGTGGCTCACGCCTATCTATAATCCAAGCTACTCAGGAAGCTGAGATCTGAGGATCTGACAGCCTGGACAGGAAAGTCCATGAGACTCTGACCTCCAGTTAACCACCAAAATGCCAGAGATGGAGCTGTGACTCAAATGGTAGAGCACCAGCCTTGAGAGAGAGAGAAAAAAAACGCAGGGATAATCCCTAGGCCCAGAGTTCAAGCCCCATAGGCCTTCTCGCAGGACTCATTGTTGGATTACTCTGAAATTCTAGCAAACAACCCAAGAAGTTAAGTAATCGCAAAATCACTGACCTCGGAGGCAAAGCTTTGCTCAGATTCCAAAGCCAAGATACTTTATTTAATGCTGCACTCTCCAGCTCTCCATCTTCTCTCCTAACTCCAGGGAGTGGTACTTGTTCTGCCCAAGAATACTGCTTCCTCCCCTAACGGTTTGAATGGACTACAAATGTTCTGTACATGCAGAAGCTTGGGTTGTAAAGCGGAGACACACCTGGGGAAGAGTGTGTCCCTGGAGAAATGAAAGGGATGAAGATTCCTCAGTAAGAAAGAACGTGGTCAGGGGAAATCTTGACTTGACTTCGCAGTTTCCACCCCAATCATAGGAAATCGCAACCCATGGTGGAAAGCATTTCAAGTGTGAGAGAGGAAACTGTTACATAGGGATAAAGAGTGGCATAACACATGGTGGGTAATATGTCCCATTATGGCACTTCTTGTTCCCATAGTGCCTTGGGCCCTTGCTAACATACTTCTTCCCATTATGTCCTGGTTGCCCACTCAACCAAGAAAAAAAGCCCAGGGAGCACAAGCTATCAAGCAATCAGGACAAAGCCAAGGGAAGAAATATGGAAAGGGCTCCATATGGTAATTGTTAGCGAAACGAGCCCCTTCCCATAGCTTAGTCCATTCTTTCCCTTTTCCACAGCTGAGCATGATCCCTTCCTAAGCAACACTAGACCCATGTAGTAAAGGCAGTAAATAATCAACTTCCAACCCCCTTTACCTTGGGATGGCACTTCTCTGGGGAAGCTACCACCATAGAAGGCAGCAAAAGCCCCTTAGAGTGACCTTCAGGTCTGGGCAGTTGCAGGACCCTTATCTACTCTTTGGACGGCAGCCATAAATCCTAGTCCTCCATGATGAAGCTCCTGGCTGGCCCACATGTCCACACAGGATCTCTGCCTCCTAGCCCCTTCTAGCCCCTCCTAAACCTCCTAGGTTATATAGGGCACTTCAGACAACAGCCAGTGCTGCTTCTCACTTCTCCCTTGTGAGAAGGGATCTTACCGGCCCCCTTTCCCAGCAATAAACCTTTCTTTGTTCTCTGTATCTGGATGTCTGTGTGATTCTCTGGAAAAGTCTATTAATCTTAATTTTGCTAAGAGTAATAATTACCCTCTGAGAGGACTCTGTTACACTCCTCTTGGAGAGTTCTGCTATGTTTCTTTCAAGGCTTTCCTTTCATTTTCAAACAAACTTACTCCTTTTACCTTAAACATCTTCCTGCCTTTTAATTCCTTAATGGATAAGAGAAAATGACTCCATCTCCCTAGAAGGTATCAAAGGGAATCTCACAAAAAAAGAAACCCATAAAGTTTTTTGTTGTTGTTTGTTTTCCAGTCCTAGGGCTTGAACTCAGGGCCTGGACACTGCCCCTCAGCCTCTCTGTGCTCAAGCTAGCACTCTACCGCTTGAGCCACAGCACCACTTCTGGCTTTTTCTGTTTATGTGGTGCTGTAGAATCAAACCCAGGCTTCATGCGTGCTAGACAGGCACTCTACCACTGAGCCACATTCCCAGCCCACCCATAAAGTTTTAACAAGGATATGTTTAGCAAAGCAGAAACAAGTAAAGAGAGGACAAAAAAAAAAAAAATGAAAGAGGATCAAAGAGGTTCAAAATGCCTCTCCTTATCACAGGACTATTTGTACCTTTTGAGCTGGGGGATTCTTGTTTGAACTCCTACCTAGACACTGGGCATATTATCTAAGAACCCTTCATCTTTTTTGTGAAGTTCAAATTGCCTGTAAACAATGGGTTTAGGGTGTGTCTGTTATCCAAACTGAGGATGCCAGTGGCATAGGACTGGCCTTTTTTTTTTTTCTTTTTATCAGTTGTGGGGCTTGAACTCTGGGCCTGGGCACTAACCCTCAGCTCTTCAGCTCAAGGCAAGTACTCTACCACTTGAGCCACAGTGTCACTTCCAGTTTTCTGGCAGTTTATTGGAGATGAGTCTCACAGACTTTCCTGCCCAGGCTGGTTTGAACCTTGATCCTCAGACCTCAGCCTCTTGAGTAGCTAGGATTACAGGCATGAACCACTGATGGCCGGCTTCAGACTGGACTTCCTATTACTCAAAACATAGAGCTAGGTTAGGCACTGGTGGCTCACACCTGCAATTCTAACTACCCAGCAGGCTAAGATCTGAGGATCACGATTCAAAGCAGGAAAGTCTGTGGGACTCTTATCTCCAATTAATCACAGAAAAATCAGAAAATAGTGTTGTAGCTCAAGTGATGGAGTGCTAGCCTTCAGCAAAAGGAGCTTAGGGATTGCAGCCAGGCCTGGAGTTCAAGGACCGGAACCCGCAAAAAACAAACAAACACACAAACATAAAGCCAATGACTATGACATTCAAGACATTCCTTTCTGGTCGAGAAAATTTCTTAGCTAGAGGCTGGTGATTCACTTCTGTAATCCCAGCTACTCAGGAGGCTGAAATCTGAAGATAGAGGTTCAAAGCCAGTGCTGGCAGGAAAGTCTGAGAGACTCTTCTCTCCTATTAACCAGCAAAAGTAGGCAGCAGAGGCAGATCCTTGAGCAAAAAAGCCAAGTGAAAGGATGAGGGTTTAAGTTCAAATTCCAGTACCAGCACAAAGGGGAAAAAGAAATTTACTTCTATTTTCAAATTAAAATATCAGTCTAGGAAGATTGCAACTCAACATCTAAAAGAATAGGGGATAGACAGAAAGAAGGCTCCATGCTCTTAGTGACTTCCACATTTCCTGATTGTCTTAATTCCTACATCTGGCTAAACTTCTAATACCTTTTTCCTAATTTTTTCTGTCACTTTACAGTCCTCTTTATCCTGCTTCTACACACCACACCAACCTACTCTGGCATTTAACTCCATTAGTGATCTCCTTCGATGAATCCAAGTCTGAAAACACAAAACTTAATCCCTAATTTCACAGCCTACGTACCAGTTTGTTAAGACTGCTAAACAACCTGGGTCCTTACATCTAGCTTGAGAAGAATTCAGGTAAGATGCAAACATAAGTAAAGATGATAGAAAAGCTTATTCAAAAAAAGAAATATAGCCGGGCACTGGTGGCACATGCCTATAATCCTAGCTACTCAGGAGGCTGAGCTCAGATGATCACAGTTCAAGGTCAGCCAAGGGGAAGAAAAGTCTCTTATTTCCAATTAGCCACAAGAAAACTGGAAGTGGTACTGTGGCTCCTTGTGGTAGAGCACTAGCCTTGAGCAAAAGAGCTCAGGGATAATGCCTAGCCCCTGAGTTTAAACATTTAAGTCCCAGGACAACAATAACAACAACAACAACAACCAGAGAGAGGGAGAGAGGAGAGAAGAGAGAGAGAGAGAGAGAGAGAGAGAGAGAGGTGAGACAGACAGACAGACAGACAGACAGACAGACATGCCGCAGGGAGAGAGCACTTTAACCTAAGTTGACCATCTTGGCTGTCTTCGGCCATCTTCCTTGATGCCAAGCTTGCCTTTGGGTTAAAGAGTAAGAATTGAATGGCTTTCTGGTTGGCAGGTCTCCCTTCTGTTTCCTGTAAGGTGGTGATACCAAAGATTTACTGTCCTGTCCTTATTTCCTCATTTTTTGTAACCCCTGGTCCTCATTTAGTAGTCAGGTAGCTTTTGTTTTATCAGCTTATTATGCCATCTTCAAGTTTTGTTTTGTTGTTTGGTGGAGGTTTTGTGCTGGTCCCCAGGCTTAAACCCAGGGCCTAGGCTCTGTCCTTGAACTTCTTTTGCTCAAGGCTAGTGCTCTATCCATTGGAGCCACAGCTCCACTGGGCTTTTTAGCAGTTAATTGGAGATAAGAGCCTCACAGACATTTCTGCCCTGGCTTGCTTCAAACCACAATCCTCAGACCTCAGCTTCTCTGAGAAGCTAGGTAATGACAGGCATGAGCCACATGGGGGGGGGGGGGGGGGGAGCGCTCATCTTCAAGTTTTATAGGCCACAATTCTCTGATTAGCTGGTTTTCTACTAACTTGCATTACCTTCTTCTCCCTCATCTACCTTCTTTAACCCTTCCTCTTCCCACAATAACACTGAATCCTTTGAACCATCTAATCAGGCTCTTTCACCATCCTATGTTCCTAATGATCCTGCCTTCAATGATCTTATTTTCTCGCTAGATCAGAGCTGACACTCCATGCTTTTATTTTATGGTTCATTTGCTCTTTTGTGCAGATGGGGAATCTCGAAGCCAAGTTAAATACCAGTTCGAGCACATCCACACTGTCACAGATTGTGTGCCTCTAGAATTTAAATGAATGATACCTCGTTCTGGCTGATGGGCACAGAGAACAACAGACATCAATAACGGTCAGGACAGAAACATCTTCCAGGTATGAGCCACCAGTCAGGAACTGGCTCTGCTTCTCCTTTTGTGGTGGTCATGGGG